AGAAAAGAATATTATTGATTCTCTTGCTCTTCTGTCCACTGAAAGGAAGAAATAGGATAAGACACCTAAAATTACTATTGAAGCACAGTCATCCGATGAAGAAAAAATAAGTCTGATTCTGATCCAGAAATCAATGAGCCGAAGAATCAGCATTGCTGACTAATTTTACAAATAAGATGAATAAGAAGTTCACAAGGTTTATAACCCCATCATCAAACAAGCAAAGAACTTCTTCTTTCAATTATTCTGACAAAGCCATTGGACCTTCTGATAAAGCTGTCAGCAGAGATCATCTAAAGTGTTTCAAATATGGCAAACCTGGTCATTTTGCTAAAGAGTGCAGATTTGCAAAGAAGAAAGATTTCAATTGCTACATGCAGAAGGCACAACTTGCTAAGCAGAAGGAACAAGGAGTTGTTTTAATGGCTGAACATGACAACTGACCGGAAGATTCTGATAATAATTGCATGGGATCTACGTTCAGGCGGTGGACAGCTACGCTCTGGTCGAACCCGGGCATGTCCTCAGGCCCCTAGGAAAAGATCACCTTGAACTCCCTCAGGACCTGGATTATTCTTGCTCTCAGGTGAGTCGGCAGCCCTACACCAATCTTAATCCGACGTTCTGACCAGGAGGGATCAACTCCGGCCTCCTCGAGCTCCGAGATGGGTTGAGCTCTAAATTTCCCTCCCTCATACTTCGACAAGTCTTGCTCAATGGTGTTGATTCTCACGTCATTTCTCTCGTGAACTTTACAGGCTCTCACATAACAGCTTCGTGCCATCTTTAGGTTTCCTCTTACCGTGCCTATTCCGGCTGGTGTATAAAATTTCATGCATAAATGAGCCTGGGAGATGATGGACCTCAGGTCTTCCAACAAAGGTCGACCCAAAATGGCTTTGTGAAAGTTTGGCAAGCGCACCACGACAACATCCGCTTCCATTGTTTGTACACATGGTTCCGATCTGAGTTGAATCTTGAGGGTTATTGATCCCTCTGATTCTATCACGTCCCCGTTAAACCCTGACAGGGGGGTCTTTACCGGCTTCAGTGCTTCTTTCTGGAGGCCAATCTTTAGGTACGTGTCCAAGTACATAACGTTCATGGAACTGCCGTTGTCTATAAGAACCCTATGGACTATCGCATCCATAACTTCCATCTTCACTACCAGTCCGTCTCTATGCGGGGGAGGAAAAGGTGGGAGGTTGTCATCAGTAAACAAAATAGATTCCCACTTTTGCTTCTTATCTGCAGGGAGGCGGCTGATCTCGCCGATGAACAACTGACGACTCCACTTCTTTCTTCCCCCTGCAGTGTCTCCTCACACATGTCCGCCGTAGATCTGGTTGACATGTGGGCGCTTCTGTCGGCCGGAATCTTCTCCTTCCTCGTCATCCTCGAACTGGGCTCCGACCTCCCTCTTTTTTGAGGTTGAGGCCCATTTGTCTTTGCCCTTGCTCCAAATGTTCATCTACTGATGGGGCTTCCCCTGCCAGCTCTTCTTCACAAACTGATCTAGTTGTCCTTCACGAATAAGTCTTCCACGTACTTCTTTAGGACGTAACAATCATCAGTTTCATGGGTGTCACTCTTGTGGAGTTTGCAATATTTACCTCGAGTAGTCTGGCTGATGATAACATTGCAATTTTCGGGCAATGTTACCAAGCCCTGTTTGGCCGCATAATCTAGAACTGCGCTAACTGGATGTGTCAATGGTGAAAACTCTGATTGACTAGATAGAGGTCCGTCGGGGACACTCGACTTGCCCTTTCCCCACTCTTTCTTCTTCCTTTTGGACCCATTCCCTTTATCTCGGTCATGGTCCTCCTTTTCGGAACTCTTTTTCTTTCTGTCGTCAACTTGGTGCTTTCCGTCCTTCTCTTCCTTTTTTCACCTTTCCGCTTCCTCCACCTGCTCCTGCGCATCAGCTCGACGTAAGGCTTCCTCGTGTGAGGTCGGGGGACGTCATACTAATTCTTTATGCAACTCAACCGACCTCAGGGCGTTGGTGAGAATGGAAACGACAGATCTGTCATCCATGCCGTCCACCTTCACCGATTCAACCCTCCAATGATCTAGGAAGGCGGTCAAGCTCTCCTAGCGTCCATGCTTGACCCCCAGGAGGTGTGAGAAGTTCTTCTCAGAGTCTTTAGAGTTGGCAAATCGTCCGATGAATGATTGGGCTAATTCACAGAAATTCAGGATCCTCCCGTCAAATAGGGAGTCATACCATTCTCGGGCTGGCCCATCCAATGTCACTGAGAATCCTCTGCACCTGATTGCATCGTTATATCCCATCATCACCATATAGGCCATGTACCTAGAAACATGGTGTTGTGGATCGGTCTTCCCTCAGTAGGCCTCAATGTTGCAAGGCTTATATCCCTGCGACAGTGGGGCATCCATGATCTGGAGGATGAATGACTCAGGAATCCTCACATCATGATTATGATTAATCCTGCCATCCACCACCCTACCGAGATCGTCCAGCCGCCTCCTGAGATTGTCGTTATCCTGGTCGGCCTGGACACGAGGTGGGGAAGCATGATCTCCACGGGCTTGCCGATGCTCGTTGATCTCATCTTTGAGATCTCCCCCCACGCGCGCTGCGACGGTGAGAGGAAACGGCTGCGAACGATGCTTCATCACTTCGTTCCACCCTGGAGGAGAGCCTATCATGCACAGAGACTCTCCGTCCTCCAATACGATCCATGACCGAACCCCTTGGGGTCTCTTTGGAGTGATGAGACCGCTGGGACCTTGCTGGAGGTGAATTCCCATGTCGCTGCGCAGATACTTCCTCCTCTTGTTGGGGCACAGATGGAACCCGGTGTGGGGAAGGAGGTCTTTCGCTGGTGTTGGGAACAATTCTTTATAAGGCGGTGGTCAATGTTTCTACAGTCCTCTGAAACGTCGCCAAACTGGCCAAGGTTTGCACCAGATCCACGTTAGGAATGAGATTCCCGGTGGTTGGCATCTGGAACTGCGGTGGGCCTGTTGCGGGATGCCTGGAACTCCGAGTGCCTTGCAGGTGGTTTCTCAAGTCACCTTGAGTTTCCACGTTGTCATTCCTTCTCCGGAAATCTCTCCGTCGCGAATGAGACCCTTCGTCTTCAATCACGACCTGCTCCATCCGAGCACCGCCTTGATTGCTGCCAACACGATTGTGACCGTGTGATCCAACCATCGTTGTCGTAAATCGTTCTCTCAATGAGAGGACCAAATGATGGAGTTCAATCCAACTACGAGAGCTAATCTACGAGAGCAGATGAAATTTAGGCAGCATAAGACTATTATTATTCCGGAATTCAGATCCTTGGTAGGATATGTACAGTAAGTATTTATAGACCTTAGGTTTCAGCATTCTAGGAGGAAACTGATACATTTAATGCAATTAATTAGAATAGAGTCCTGTAACGTCTTGAACGTTGTGCAATGATTGTTTCTCTCAGGTCCACGTTCTTTCCGTTATGTTTTGCCGCTGCCAGATAGCTATGCACAAATGATAGCCTGCCACATAAGCCCTAGTAAGAGTCCGATCTCGCTAGAACTGCGCCCAGACTCGAGGTCTGCTATCCAGCCTGACTTGGTTGTGGGTTCCTTTCGCGGGTTGGAATCCTGGTTAGGCCCGGCGACTATTGTTTATTTATTAATCCCGATTAATGGGATGATCCCGTTGATGGGATGATCCCGTTGATGGACTTTGTTTTAATTTAGTCTTGCGCCATGGTCGTAATCCATGGTACTATCAATGAAAATTAAAATTTTCTATAGGATTTGGGTTATATATATTGCATATGCAAATTGGGGGTATTTTCTCACAAACACTCAAAGTTTGAGATAATTATTATTTACCCGTGTCGTGCACGAGATAAGCTGATTTTATTTTAGTTTTATTATACTACATATATGTTTGCGCACGAGAATAAACATATGTATGAGATATATTAACTAACACAAATCACTTATTTAGTCGATTATAATTGATTGATAATGCATATTCTTATTTATTGAGCATGTTTTATTTTTAACTAATTATCTGAACATGTTATCAGTCTATGTTTTCCAATTAAAAGAGACAATTTTGTTATAACCCCCAATTGCATCCAAATGAATTTCATCTCCTTTCAACATCTTTATCAAAACAAACAAAAAGAAATTGCTTAATGTCTATTTTTATCCATTAGATTCCATCCGTAGCTTACTTTTTTTTATCAAAACTAATAACTACACATTTTGTAATTTATTTATTTAATTAACAATGTAGTTATTTTTTTGAAGATATTAGTCCATCTAGAATTTAGAATTGAGCAAATTATTATTGCTTTTATTCCCTTCTTTATTAAAAGAGTTGAATATATAATTTTGTGACATTTTTATTTTAATGAAGGTGATGACAGTGACAACATGGCGTTTGCATAACAAGATTAGTAGGTGTCGATTTATTTTTCATTAGATTGATTTCAAATAAGTTTTATTGAACGAAGAAAGGTTACATGCTTTAGACTTTTGTAGGCAAATTTTACATAGAAGGTCAGCTGAATTAAATTTATAAAAAAATTATCACGTCGAGCCATAGGTAATAATCGAAATGTTTTCTTTTTCAATGGATAAAAATAAATGCACTGTATTGCAACTATTTAACAGTTACGTCTACAAAATTACTGTAAATACTACCGTGTTAATTCTATTAGTCCTATTTTGAGAATAAAAATATAATAGTGCTATTTTGAAATTCCAAAGTTCATTTTAAGGGGGTGTTTGGAACTGATTCTGATTCTGTTTTGTTTAAAGTAGAAGCAGAATCAGAATAAGTTTTCAGAAGCTGGTCACCCCCAGCTTCTAAAAAAACTGATTCTGGGAGTAAATTAGAGCACCAGAATCACTTCTGTACTTTTACCCAAATACTCTAACTTCTAATTCTGCTCTCTGAAGGAGCAGAAACAGTTTTAAGAATCAAATCCAAACACGTTTCAGGATCTCTCCCTAATTATTTTCATAATGGGGGAGTATTTCATAAACAAATTCCTGCAAATCGCGAGACCAGCTCACCAGCTGCTATTTGGTCTTCTCCGGCATCTCTTTTGTAGTAATTAAACTAATAATAATAATTGAATGTGTTCCCTCAGATCCACCAGCACCAGAACTTGCATTGGTTGGATCTGATCGGAGCCCTTTCAAAAAATTTCAATCGCTCATCTCAAGTTGGATCACATATACTTCTCCATCTCGTCGTTCTTGATCATTTTTCGTTTTCCATATTTGTTATTATGAGGTTTTGAGTATCGACGTTGCTGCGACTTGCATAATCCATAACATTCTCGAACAAAAACATTCGGAGTATAAAACAAGATAAAAAGGTTGGAGCTTCGAGGAATGGGTTCGTTATCTGCAATCAGCGAGGATCTCGCTGAAATTGAGGGACAGATTTGGGATATCTTTCGAGCTCTGACGTAAGTATTTTCAATAGTTTTCAACCCTTTAATTTAATATGTGTAATTTGGGTATGCTGCGGGGATGCCAAAGTGTGATTTTCAATACTTTTCAACCCTATAATCTAATTACGGAGTATCTTTTTTGGGTTGATTTGATGTAAAATGAGTGTGGCTTTCATTTGACTCATTTTTAAAGTGGAGTAATTCGTAATTTTGATGCAGGAATGGGTTTCAGAAATTGGAGAAGATTAAGGATCCCAACAGGCAGAGCAGGATGCTGGAGGAGCATACTGAGAAGATGCGAAATTGTAAGAGGTATTTCGTCACCAACTTTAGTGGTGATATTTCAAGTCTAACTTTGCAACCTTTTCTTCTGCTATCTACTTATTTGCGTGATCCAGAAGTAGTTTATGGCATACTTACACAAACTTTAAAAGGGTATGAGGTAAACACATCAAACATACATATATAATATAAATATCCCGAATTTTATATAAAAAGTTATGATAACACCATATGATTATATGTTTTTTCTTTCACTAATGTAAATGTATGAGAGTGCAGTTAACATTCTTGCAAATATTTTAAATTGTGTACTTAACAACATAAATTTACATTTGTGAAAGAAAAACTATATGATCATGGTGTTAAGATAATTTTTTATATAAAGTTCAAGTATATATATTACACATGCAAGTTTAGGATATTTACCTCACACTTCTTCAAAGTCTGGGGTATTTAAATTATTTTGTCCTAAAATTTATGTGCTTTTTACATTTTAAACCATCTCGGTCTGTAGTCTTTATTATTCTTGTTGAGGATTATAGGTTGAGTCGTTGAGATGCAAGCCATTGTCATCTCTGATATGCTTCTCAGACTATTAGCTCTCTCTCTCTCTAATTATATATGATCAGGCGCGGACTAGGCCGATAGAAAGAATATTTTTTGATTTTTTACACGGGATTTCGTTCCTTAAAAAGTTGGGCATTTTTAAATTTGGGATGGGCCGAGGCCTGGGTTGCCCCCTAGATATGGCCTTCTCCAACATGATTTATTTCAAAGATTTTTACAAATTGGGATTGTGACCTAAATATTACTCCCTCCGTCCCTTCAAACTTTGTCAACTTTCCTTTTTTGGTTGTCCCACTAACTTTGCCACTTTCCCTTTTAAGTAAGAATTTATGGTTCTAGTTAATTCTCTCTCCTCTGCACGAACCTCAACCACACACTTTTTACTTTATTAATCCCTATGCCAGTCAAAATTGGCCTAGTTTTAAGGGATGAATGGAGTACTACACAATGGATAATGGACAAAAAAGTTATTTTAATTTTCAAAAATGTAACTAATAAAGTCATATAGTTGAAAAACATGTCATTGCTAGATTTTCATGTCACTGCCTGACTTCCATGTCACTAACAGATGTCACTCCCAAATTTTTATGTCACTGCCAGATTTTTATGTCACTTACATAAGTCATTGCCGCGGTGAAAAATGTCATTGTGACGGTCGGAAAATTTTCCAACGACCTTTTCCAATGACACCACGTCCACCCCCCTCCACAACCTCAACCACGTGCGGCTAACAGCGACATTTAAGCCGAAAGCAACACCACTGTTTCCCCGCAATGGCCACCTGCCGCTGCCGTCGCACATACTCCGGCCGCAGCCACACACATTCCGGCTGCCGCCACCATCTGCCCCACCCCGCTTACCACTACCCTCACCAGCCCCCAGCCTACCTTCTCTAATCCCCTCCTCGGCTTCCCCAGTCCCTAGCTTTCGCCTGCCGGCGGTGACTGCTAAACCGCCAGTATCCTTGTCTGTGCCCTTGCCCCAAACGCGCTCCAGCCCCGTGAGAAACCCTATCCATCGCAATCAGTGATGCCGTCGCACCCCTGACCACCTTACCAGCCCGTCCCTAGACCCCCTCACCATCCCTGGCCAGCTCCCCTTTCCTGGCCGCCGCCTTAACCCTAACTCGAGATTTTGCGGAAGAAAGGAGGAGAAGATACAAGGCGGTGACTTTGGCGGACTCTTGTCCTCCCTCGCCATAGCCAGAAGAACAATGGAGGTGGTTGCGACGCTGGAAGGGATGCCGCGTTGGAGATCGATGGCCATCGCTGCGCTCGAAGGGATGCCGCGTACAAGATCTATGTCCATCGTTGTGCTCTCTGTATCGGTGCTCTCCTGATGGTCTGGTCTCCAGATCCGTTTTAATTAATGATCACTTTTTTGGAAAATGAAAAAAAGGTATTACCTCTGCCATCTATTATTGTCCCATTGCGGTTTACGATGTTTGATCGACGATAAAGCAAATGATCCCAGTCCGCGCTCAAATTATTTTTGGAAAAAAGTTACATATTCAGAAACTACATTAAAAGCTTTACAAAGTCGCAAAAACTAGAATCAAATTTGATAAAAATTTGATACATAAAGTAAGAGATTAAGTGTGATTTGTGTTGACCAACTGAATAGGAACTAAGGCAATAATAAGGGGACGAATGGAGTAATATTTTAGGAATTGGAAAGTGTCATGGTAATATAGAGGCCCTTCTTTCTTAATCGTGTCGGGTATAAATCACATTTTGTTTTTGTGAAATTATCACCCCCCCTTGAAACTTGAAAATAAAGCACACTAGTTGCTCTTTATCATCTGAGAAAGGGCACACTTTAGAGAACCTCTTATTTTAATATGGTATGTGAAATTTTTAGATGCCAAGTTCCAACACATCATAAATCCCCTTATTATGGAGTATGCAAATTTTCATATGCAAGCTTCCAACACATTAGAAATTCCTTTATTTATTAGGGAGTGCAATTTTGATATGCCAAGTTGTAAGGGTATGTTTGGCACAACTATTTGAAAAGATAATTTTTGTGAGCTTTTTAGTAACCATTAGCTTTTAGTGACTGATCTTAAAAGAAAAATGTTGTAGTTGCGATTTTCATATTTCGATTCATGTCATGTGATGTGACTAAGTGATACTGTTGGCCGTCACGCGCCTACCACACTAGGAGTCTCGTTTGCGGTGGTTTGGGGCGTTGGGCATGTGCGTAGAAGACGGAGTGATGCACCTATTAGACGACTTGAGGGGTGGGGAGAAGAGACAAAGAAGAGAAGGAGAGGAAGTCCCAAACAGACTTGGATGAGAGGAATCAGAACTGATATGCGTCTTCTTGGGCTGGATGAGAGTATGGCTTTGGAGAGAGCAAAGTGGAGGGCGCACATCCGTGTGGATGATTGATGTCTTTTCTACATTTCCTCCCTCTTTTCTTTTATCGTTTATCTTCTTTATCTTTTATATTCTTATGTTATTTTTATCTTCTAGCTTTTTTATGCTCTTTTATTTTTCTATCTTTTATCTTTCTTATATTCTTTTCTTATATTCTTATGTTATTGTTATCTTATATTTATTTATCTTTATTTTATCCGTTTTATCTTACTTTTTCCCCTCCTTGTCCGTCTCTCTGTTTGGCTTCGATATCATAGATCGATTCATGTTAGCCGACCCCAAATTCTTTTGGAATTAAGGCTTGGATGTTGTTGTTGTTTTGTGGCAAAACAAGTTGTTGTTTGTGATTAATTAATGCCAAAAGCTACTACGTATAGCTTATCAAAAAAGATAACCTCTTAAATTTTGTTGTGCCGAACATACAACTAAAAACTTATAAAAACTTTTTAAATAGTACAAAAACTAGAAGGTAGGGACTTATGCCTACCAAACATACACTAACTATGGGAGCTTATGATTGTTGCAAAAAAAAATTCAGTTTGGAACTATAGTATTTCTTTCTTATTATTTATGCATGTTAATTCATGTAGTTGGAAAAGACTGATTGCTGATTTCCTTGACAGGCTGATTAAAGACTTTGACTCAGAAGCAAAAAAATTGGAGCATAGAAATGATGCAAACACGAACAAGATGCTCAATGAGAAAAAACAAGCAATGGTGTGATTTCATTAAACAGACGTGCAAATGTGAATGGCAGGAAGGCAGAATATATTTTTATCCTTATATGTGAACTGACCCACCTTTTTATGCAGATCAAAGAGCTGAACTCATTTGTTGCTTTGAAAAAGAAGTCAGTTCTTTCCCATTGCTATCTCCAATTTCATTTGAAGTGTAATTTTTGTTTTGCTGTATTTTAAAACTATTTCATCTAAAAAAATATGTTTAGTTTTTACTGTGTATCTTTTTTTAGTTCATTATATTGTTTATATATAAATATGGATACCTTTTCTTATTAATTATTCTGCCCAACACTCATTTTTGTGCTGATTGTTTCCCTAGCCCCCCTCTTACATTTTTTGCCCTTAAAAAAACCCCTTTTCTCTTCTATGTAACTCTATTCTGCTAAGTTGTTCTTTCATTCTACCTTTTCTTCATTTACTTATTTTCTTGAATTTATCATCGTATTATGAAAATCGGTTCTTGCAATGAATAAAATTTAAAAACAATCAATTCATCGCATCATAATCATCAGAAAATGTATTTTTTTGAGTCCATTATATTGTTTATTTATAAATATAGATACCTTTCCTTATTAATTAGGCATAATGGAAACTAATAATCCAACCTTTTAGCGGTATTCTTACAATAGTCCCACCTTTTGATTATTCAGGAATAATCCAACCTTTGCACCCCATCTTCATTCAATGATCCTTGACCGGTCGATGACCTGTTATTCCAAGTTATTTTCTTATCTTTGCAAAACATTATGTGACCATAAGGTGAGATTTATGGTATAATATATTGCAAAGATAAGAGAATAACTTGGACCATTGAATGAAGATGAGGTGAAAAGGTTGGATTATTCCTGAATAATCAAAAGGTAGGTCTATTGTAATAAGACCGCTAAAAGATTGGATTATTAGTTTACATTTTCCCTATTAATTATTATTCCCGAAACTCATTTTGTGCTGATTGTTTTTCCTGACCCACTCTCTTATTCCCCCCCCCCCCCCCTAAAAATCCCTTTTTCTCTTGTATATAGCTCTCTGATTGTTTTTACTTATTTTCTTCAATTTATCACAGGACTATGAAAATTGGTTCCTGCAATAAATTAAATTTAAAAATAACCAATTCATTGCATAATTAATTGAATATGGTGATATCTTGTATTCCCTAAGCCGAAGAGGAACAAACATGACCCCCACCCTTGAGGGGTATCTATGTAGCTCAACTCCAGATTAGTTGGAGTTGAACATGGCAACCTGTCACCCAGTGGTCATGGTACCAACAAAAATTAGGGGGGGTGGCCGGGTGGGTGGTGGTCCATGGGAAAATGACTGCTACCTAATTCATCATGCAGATTTAAGTTCACCTGTAAAAAGGTAAATACTTAGCAACCCTGAATGCACATCATTAAATGATCTTTTGTTGCTTGCCCAAAATGCTGAATGCTCGAAGTTGCCTAATGATGTTTCATCATTTCTGGAACTCTGGAAGAGTGGAATACAATTATGTACTACTATCCCCCTGGTTATGAAACCATTTCATATGGTCTAAGGGCGGAGACTAAACTGTGTGATTTGTAAATTTTACCAATGCTTTGTTGTATTCATCTACTTTCAAATAAAACCCAGATGCTCTGCTGTCTTACTTGGTCAAAATTTCAAACTCTTTGCTTAGGTTCACCTTTCACTTTTTTATGTTTCTTTTCAGACAGAAGTGTGCTTTTAGTTTGTGTCTTATAGTTTATTGTTTAGTTTGTTCTTCTGCATGTGATGCTGCAGATATGCAGCCAGTCGTGACAACAGACGAGTAGATCTCTTTGAGGGCCCTAGTGAAGGTTTTGCTGAGGAGAATGACTTGCTTGCTTCAAGTAAATCTACTCTGTATGCTTTTCCATTTTTTAGGGTGCCTTTGGATCCCGTAAGTTTCTAGGGAAAGGAAAACAAATGCTAAAGAAAGTTACTTTTTTGTGTTTGGCCTATGAAAATCCATATAAAAACCGAACATAATTTTTAAACACAACCTTTTAGATTTCTTAGACGAATTGAGAAGAGAAGACAGGGAGGAGAGGGGGATGTCGTGGATTAGAGTGTTCAAGAATGATATGGTACTTTTTGGATTAGATGAGAGTACGATTTTGGAAAAAGCAAAGTGGAAAGATAGTATGCGTGTGGAGGATTGATATGTTTTTTTTGTCTCCTTTTTCTCTATTTATTGTTTCTAACTCCGATGTTTTCATGTTAGATGACCTTAAACTCTTTTGGATTATGACTTGAATGTTGTTGTTGTTGTATATTCAGATTTCTTAGTTATTATGCTATAAAACGGTAACATAAATATCTTTGAATAAATATCCTTGTGAAATATATGACTCACATTCTTATTCATGTTATGAAATATTACAACAATAGCTATATTTATAGTTATAACTAGGGTACAATTAAGGCTAAGTGGCTAACTACATAAAGAGGGCTGAGCCCAATATGCTAGGGTTTAGGGTTTCAACACTCCCCCTCAAGATGCATCATATAAATCATATGCACCAACCAAGCTTGTTACAAATGTATTCAATTATAGGACCTCAAAGAGACTTTGTTAAAATGTCTTCAAGTTGATCAGTCGTGTTGACATAACCTATGATGATTTGTCCTTTTAAAATCTTCTTTCGGATGAAGTGACATCGACCTCAATATGTTTAGTCCTCTCATGAAATATTGGGCTAGATGCGATGTGCATTGCAGCTTGGTTAGCAGTTATCACCATAGTCACATGGTTCGCGGTACGGTTTGATACGGGAACGAGGAATGGGAACACGGTTCGCTAGATCTAGCGTATCCGATTCGGAGGGGGTAGGTTCATTTCGGTACGCGTTCAGTACGATGTACCTTATGTTTTGGTACTATAATAAAACTGAATTATAGATTTCATAAAATTAAATAAAAACAGATTTCATAGCATTAAACAAAATAAATAACATTAAAATTGTGCCACGTAGAAACTCTAGACTCATTTGAAAACACAAAAACATTAATTAAAAGTTTAAAACAGAAAAATGAATTTCACTCCATTAAATAAGTGACACTAGGAAGAGTAAGTGGCGTAGGAATACAAAGAGTCTGGTACTCTGGTTCGACCCTGTTGATGACCTAGAGCAGAAAACGAAAAGGTTTGTTTGAGTCTTCAGGAACGCTTGGGGTCTTCATATGTGCATGTAGAAAGGAAACAGTGATTGTTGATAGCGTTTGAGAACGACCTGGAGACCAGTTGTGAACGACTTGGAGACCAGTTGCGAACGACATGGAGGGCGGATGCGAACACATTCTTAAGCGATTGGGAACGACCTGGGAACCGTATCGGAAAGCGATCCCTGTAGCGTTTGGAACGCTTTCGTACCGCGATTGGGTACGCATCGTTCGGAGCGCAGATCGCGGGGTCTTCAACGATTTATGTAACTATGGTTATCACACATCAACTGAACTGGTCTCATGCTTTCGTACCCCACTTCTTGAAGGATGTACTTTAACCATAAAATCTCACGTGCAACAAGAACTATTGCACAGTACTCTGCTTCAGCACCTGATCTTGCTACAACATCTTGTTTCTTACTCTTCCATGAAATCAAGTTTCCACCAATCAAAATACAATATCCAGAAGTAGAACGCCTATCAGTTGGACGTCCAGCCTAGTCTGCATCACAGTATCCCACAATATCTTTATGCCCTCGGTCTTCGTAGAGTAACTCTAGACTTGGTATTTTCTTTATGTATCTCAAGACTCGGATAGCTGCATCCCTTTTGAAGACGTGAATACTCAAGAAAAATGCATTTGATTGACCGAACAGTCATTTTTGGTCGTCCAGGTGTTGTATCATGAACAAAATGAACACATCCAAAAACGAGGGGACAAAGGAAATAATTCACGTGCAGGGAACAAGACAGAATAAGGGTCATCATTGTTAATTATCGATGAAGGCATTTTGTTGGTTAGGTGACACAGTGAGAATAGCATCGACTCAGTACTGAGATGGTGTATGAGAATGTAATAATAGAGTGCAAAAAGAAGATTCTTACGTTCAGCAACACCATTTTGTTGTGGTGTGAATGCAAGAAGATTGGTGGAGCATCCCTTGAGAAATTATGAATTGATTATATGGTGTGGAAAATAATTCTTGAGCATTATCACTGCATAAAACTTTGATAGAGCAACCAAACTGTGTTTGAATTTCAGCACATTTTTTTTGAAAACTGTGGAGTAATTCAAACCGTTCTTTCATTAAAAATAACCATGTGATATTATTAGAAAGTGTAGTGGAGATCTGATTTGAGAGGATGAAATGTTTTCTTATTATTCAAGAGTAGAGTGCATAAGTATTTATACACACAAGTCATAACCGAATACAGTTGTGTCTATAACAAAACTAACAGTAGCTCTAACTAACTCTACCAGCTCACTATACATATATATTCCTAACAGATATGGACCCCAAACATCGGTATGAACTAAATCAAACGGGTATGTTACTCTATTATTGACTCTTCGTGGGTAAGACTGACGGGGTTGATTGCCGAGATGACACGAGTCACAATATAAGGAGGGAAGACGAGATAAACCTGGAACCATTTTTTGGAGTTTTGAGAGGCTTGGATTACCTAAGCGATTATGTAAGGTAATCGCTGACTCAGCCGACACACAATCAATAGAATCAAGAGGGTGGAGATAATACAGGCCATGAGATTCATGCCCGACACCAATCACTTTCCCATTACCACGGTCCTGCTCAACCACAAAATCAGATGAAAAGGTTATATACCAATTGAGAGAGCGAGTAATCTCGCTAATGGTAATAAGATTAAAAGGACGGTTTGGAACATGTAAGACATTTTCTAATGGTAAGAATGATTGTGGAAGAGCCTTACCTATTCCCATAGAGGGTGTTTGATGTCCATTAGCAAGGGTGATATGCAGTAAATGTGAACGTTTAGATAAATTATATAAAAGATAGGAATTACCAGAAACATGATCAGAAGCACCTGAATGAAGGATTCAAAGATTAGAACTATTTGAAATACAAGTTGTCAAGTTCTAGATACACCTTTAGAAAGATTTAGATTCTTGATTTTTTGGTAATCCTCAAATTCGTCGGGTGGAAGCACAACTAGAGGTGGCCCGATATTGACTGATTTAGTAAAGAATATCGGCATGGCAGTGAAGGACATAATATAAAGCTTGGAATTTCTAGTGGTCCAGAGGTGGCGTGCAGGTTTTTATCGACAACGGAACGACTCCAAAATTCTTGGGCAGGGTCGCTGGAGGATGGCCGTTCTTCTGGTATAGGCTGTGACAAAAACGGAGCATCGGAGAACAGTAGATCTAGAAATGAGCAGTGAAGGGTTTTTAACTTCCGGTGGCGTGTGGCAGCCCGTCGGAGCTTCTCCGGTGACAAGATTCCTGCCGGTGGGTGGCGACGATGTTCCGAGGTGGGCGGTAGGACTGGTTTTGAATACACACTACCGGATAAGTCTCGGAAGAAATAGTTGCCGGAAAATGTCACCCACCGGAAAATTTCACCGGAAAACTTTACGTCGGAAAATTGAAGAAATAAATTGAGAACTACGTAATATGTGGCTCTGATATCATGTGAAATATATGACTCACATTTATATTCATGTTATGAAATATTACAACAATAGCTATATTTATAGCTATAACAGGGTACAATTAGGGCTAACCACATAAAATGGCCTGAACCCAACAAGACCATTTGTAGTTGTGGAGAGGCCAAATTGTTAAAAATGGACTCCGTCCATATGAAAACAATGTTTAGACTCCTATTTCCCTGCATTCCAACACCGTCAATAAAATACATTCAACATATTTTTTTACATATAAATTTAGTAAAACATTAATTAAATAATTATGTAAAATAAAAAATACACATTTCGATGTAAAAATAAATAAATTTCATCAACTTTTTTTAACGTTTTTTGGTTAACAAAAATGAACTTAATTCAAGTAAAGTTCGATTATGAAATATTCAGTTATTTGTGAGGCTCCATGAATTAAAAATTATGTTTCATGCTTTTTGGGCTCAAGAAAATTTCAACAGTTAAAACTTCAGATTTTTTTCATTTTATATATTACATATCGGTGTCATATGAAAGATGATGAAAATTCACGAGTTTTGATATATTTTTTAAAAAATTTGGAATACAAAAAGTTATAAGAGTTTTAAAAAATTTGAGGTTTAATGACAGGGGATGACATCATCATTTAGGAGTCAATCCATCCTCTATTAATAACACCCTCAACCCCCTTACCCACTTTTAACACCTCTCTTAATCCTCCACTACACACATTTAGGAGTCCAAAAGTTCCATTTTTAACTTTTTGGACTCCTAAAACCTCTCTACTACAAATGGCCTAAGGTAGGGTTTAGGGTTTCAACAATCCTAAAGAATATCAAGTGAATAAAAATATAACTACTTTTAAATATATCCAAAAGGTGGCTATATAATCTCGAGTGTATCACAGTATATTATCCCCCATCAACTTCCCATCTTTTCCTCCAAATTTTCTGTCCTTCCAATTTTACTTCTTGTTTCCCTCTGTTTTCTTTCCCGAGTACTTTCCAGGTTCCAAATGGCCCCCAAGTGTTGCAGTAAATTGGTACTGTCTAGTTCATTTAGAAGTGGCCTATTTTTTCATGGCATTTTTTTTAAGCACTTTTCAAATATTCTGCTTTTTATATTTGCCTCATTCTTTTTATTTTGAGAATATCACTATATAAACAAACCTCCTATCTTATTCAACTTTTTTTACCATCAAAGTATTATAAATAGAGTATGAGAACCATTTTGTTGCATTCCCTTTTGTTTTCCTTTGAGTTCTTTTTTATGATGGGGTAACTTGGAGCCGCTACTCTTTGAGTAGACACTAGGTAAATCCTCGGATTGAACACAATAACCTGCAAGCCATGCCAAACGGGGAAACCACACTAGGTAAGCCCTGTGTGACAAGCTCAACCGAGAAGGTGTTAGGGGGAAATTGAACTTGATACCTATAAGTCACTAATTCACCTGCACCACCAACTCGACCACCCTTAGAGTACTTTGTTGCATCCCTAAGTTATAGGCCAAGTATTAGAGTATTAGTATCACACCATGCTAACTTGGGAATTTACTTTGCTGAGTTGTTGCATTCCTGAGCTCCCATCATCTACGCAATTGAGTTGTTAACCACTTAACCTGCTAAGAAACTTTACTTACTTTTATTGTTGTACTCCATCCCTCCCTTAAAACTTTGCCAAGATTGACCGACACGGAGATTAATAAAGTAAAAACTGTGTGGTTGAGGTTTTGTGTAGAGGGGAGAGAATTAACCGGAACCACAAATTCTTTACTTAAAAAGGAAAGTGACAAAGTTAATGGGAAAACCAAAAAAGGAAAGTTGACAAAGTTTTAAGGGATGAAGGAGTAATAGATTTCTCTTATTACTTTAAACTCTTAGGAGATAGGTTAGACAATTACTCCCTCTACCCCTCCTTCCCAAAGAAAAATTCATGTTTCAAGAACATTTTTTGTCCGGAAAGGAGAGTTTTTATGAAAGACGACTTCAATTTTCAAGGAAAATTCCTGTAAAGCCAAAAGACTAGCAGGTTTTAGTCAAAAACTCTAAACAATCTTGAGAGTAAGCTGTATGGGAATAAGTGGTCATTCATAACTTGCAAAACCTGAACCTTGATTGAGTTGACTGCAAATAAAAGGTCGTACCTTTACTTAAACATTACTCTATTTTTGGGGGGAGAAGAGAAATGAGAACACATATGATTATTCAATATCAAGAATGTCTGTTGATATTATGTCGTCAGCTCATTTATTACATCGATCATTACACAAATAAGTATAATGTTAATCTACTTATCAGTTACTTAATAAAGCTTAATGAAGTTACATTTATCATATTTCAGATATGAGTAATCAAGAGCTAATGGATCAAGGGAATCATATGATGGGCGAGACCGATCAAGCTATTGATAGAGCACAAAAGGTGAGCAATTCATTTTCCAACAGTTGCTACTTCTCCTTGTCATCCCCTTTTTCTCTTATGTATCAGAACCAATGCTTCTCACTAGTAGAGTTCGTTTTTAGTCATGTTCGAAGCCTTACATATAAAAACCTTTTGTACAAAGTTCAATGATTTGTAGGTTGGTATCTTAATTTCTTTTGTTTTTAATTATAAACTACTGTTCCAAAATTTTGTTCACCCTTTCCATTTTCATCCGTGTTAAATTGTCTTTGCATTTCCCTTTTATGAAAGAAATGTATGGTTCATATTAGTTCTATATTTTAATAGTAAATCTTAGTCACACAATTTCATTTTCTTAAATAACGTGCCAAAGGAAGTATCAAGATAGTATTGAGACGGAGGGAGTATTCTATTACCACAATGTTTAAATGAATACAAAAGATTAGTCATGTGCCTCCAAATTTAAGTCTTTGCCAGTATTATGCTTCGGGCGTGGTTGAGAGATGAAAATAAAAAGAATTGAAATAAAAGAAAGGAAGAACTTTGCGCTAGGCAAAAGGAGGTGGTTTCCGACTTTGTCAAGAGTCAAGACCTCAAGAAATAACTCCAAAATTAATGATGGTATTATTAATGAATAGCGCACCTCTATTTATACTAGCATAAGAGGCTTGGTGGCCCAGTATTAGAGTAACTTTAAACCTATTACAATTCATCTGATTGAAATATTAACCAAAATAGAATGCCTATGCTAATAGGAGACTAACAACAACAACAACAATAATATTAAAAATGGAAACTGATAATAATGATAGAAAATCTTCTTTCCACAATCCTTCTTCATGTTCCTTTTGAGAGGCTCTATCAAAATTCTCACAATAGCAAGAGGATGGAATTGTAAAAGTCGGCTACTAAAAGTGTCTGTCACAATACTTTTATTGGAAGAATAAGTGAAAAAATTCAAACAGGTACCTAAAGTCTCATTGATGAACTTGGTTCTTGTGAACAAGTATTATTATTATTATATTTCATATACATGATATCAAATGGTATACAAGAAGCTATATTTATAGCTATATTTTGAGCACTAGGGTTCCATATACAAACATATACAAAATGGGCTAAGCCCAACTCTACTAGGGTTGCCACACCCCCCTCAAGCTGGAGCATATAAATCATATGTACCAAGCTTGTTACAAATATATCCCGCTCTAGGACCTCTAAGAGATTTAGTTAGAATATTTGCAAGTTGTTCGGTTGTGTTGACATAATTTGTGATTATACGTCCGTTCGCGATCTTCTCTCGGATAAAATGGCAATCAACTTCAATATGCTTAGTCCTCATGATATACCGGATTTGATGCAATGTGCATTGCGGCTGTGTTGTCACACATGAGTTGGATTGGTTTTGTGTTTCCATATTTTAACTCTCGGAGAAGATGCTTCAACCATGAGATTTCACATGTCGCAAGGGCCATTGCACGATATTCTGCTTCAGCACTAGATCTGGCAACCACATCCTGTTTCTTACTTTTCCATGAGATTAAGTTTCCACCAATCAAAATGCAATATCCTGACGTGGAACGTCTATCCATCGGACATCCGGCCCAGTCTGCATCACAGTATCCTACAATATCATGGTGGTCTCGGTCTTCGAACAACAATCCTTGCCCAGGTGTTTTCTTGATGTATCTCAAAACTCGAATAGCTGCATCCCAATGTCCACTACATGGCTTATCAAGAAACTGACTAAGGACACTTACCGCAAATGAAATATCTGGCCTCGTGATGGTAAAGATAATTCAATTTGCCAATCAGCCTTCTATACTTTTCCCTGTTGGGCAAAAGATCTCCCCTGTTCGGACAAAAGTTTGACGTTTGGATCCATGGGTGTATCCACTAGCCTGCACTCTAGCATACCTGTTTCCTCAAGAATATCCAATGCATATTTTCTTTGTGAAATGGCATTTCCATTTTGAGACTGTGCAACCTCAATGCCAAGAAAATATTTCAACTTTCCCAAGTCTTTTGTTTGGAATTTGCTAAAGAGATTGTTTCAGGAGTGCAATTCCTTGTTCATCGCTACTTGTAATGACAATGTCATCGACATATACAACTAGATAAATACATTTGTTGCCTGCAGAATGTCTATAAAATATAGAATGGTTGACATCACTGCGAATCATGCCAAAATCGCAAATAACGGCACTAAACCTCCCAAACCATGCACGTGGTGATTGCTTCAAGCCATATAAAGCACAAAGTAATATGCATACCAAACCAGACTCTCCCTGAGCAACAACACCAGGTGGTTGCTCCATGTAAACCTTCTCGTGCAGATTACCATGAAGAAATGCATTTTCAATATCCAATTGGAATAATGGCCAGTGGCTCATTGATGCCATGTATAAAATCAAACGAATCGATGCAATCTTCGCTACAGGAGAAAAAGTGTCAGTGTAATCCAAACCATAAATCTGAGTATACCCTTTTGCCACAAGGCGTGCTTTAAAACGATCAACTTGCCCATCAGGACCAACTTTAGCGGTGTAGATCCACCGACACCTGACTACTGATTTGCCAGGGGGATGGGGAACTAATTCCCACGTCCCACTAGAACGGAGAGCCTCCATCTCAGCCAACATAGCTTTACGCCATTCCGGATGTGCCAATGCCTCATGTGTTGTTTTAGGGATGGGTAAATGAGACAAGTGTGAAATGAAAGCAAAGTAATGGGTAGAGAGGCGGTGGTAACTCAAAAAGTTATAAATGGGACGTGGATTCAAAGTAGAACACGTACCTTTTCGGAGGGCAATGGGCAAATCATCCGGGGTGTTTTCAGGTGGTGCGATAGTTGATGGTGATGATGCAGGAACCGTCATAGGGGAATCAACTGGCGTGGCCACGATAGGCTTAATGGGAGGAGGTCGAGGACGACGATGGTATACTTCTGGATGGATGGGCCGAAGATATGAGATGAAGTCCGAACATGATGGAATATCAACAGCAGATAATGGGTAAAAAAAGGAGGACTCGATAAAAGTGACATCAGCCGAAATAAAATGCTTCTTAAGTAATGGAGAATAACAACGATAACCCTTTTGGACTCGTGATTATCCAAGAAAAATGCATTTTATTGACCTAGCTGACATTTTAGATAACCCAGTTGTAAAATCATGGACAAAACACACACACCCAAACACATGAGGTGGTAATGGAAATAACTCATGAGTAGGAAACAAGACAGAATGAGGAACTTCATTATGAATAACTGAGGAAGGCATTCTATTTATTAAATAACACGCAGTGAGTACGTACAACGTCTGCCCAATACTGAGGTGGTGTATGTGAATGTAATAACAGAGTACGGGCAGTATCAACTAAGTGTCTGTTCTTGCGTTCAACTACTCTATTTTGTTGAGGCGTGTGTACACAAGAAGACTGGTGAAGCATACCCCGTGATGTCATGAAGTGATTAAAGGGTGCCGCAAAAAATTCTTTAGCATTATCACTACGTAAAATTTTGATAGAATGACCAAACTGAGTGTGGATTTCGGCACAAAAAGTTTGAAAGATATGGAATAATTCAAATCGTTCTTTCATTAAAAACAACCATGTGTAACGGGAAAGGTCGTCCACAAAAATAACAAAATAGCGAAATCCTAAAGTAGAATTGACTCGATACAGACCCCATACATCTGTATGAACTAAATCAAAAAGGGATGCAGCCCGTTCATTAACACGCCTTGGAAAGGATTGATGGGGTTGCTTTCCAAGGTGACATGACTCACAATCTAAAGACGAAAGACTTGAGAAACCTGGAACCATACGTTGGAACTTTGAGAGGCTAGGATGACCCAAACGGTTATGTAACGTTAATGCAGGTTCAACGGAGACACAAGCGATTGGATCAACAGGAGGAAGATGATACAAGCCTTGAGATTCATGCCCGACGCCAATCGTCTTCCCCGTACGACGGTCCTGCACAATTACAGAATCAACAAAAAAGGTTTTGGAACAATCAAGAGCACGTATGATTTTACTAACAGAGACAAGGTTGAAGGGGCTATTAGGAACATATAAGACTGAATGTAATGGTAAGGATGCAAGTGGAAGTGCTTGCCCAATACCCGTGGCTGAAGTTTGATGGCCATTAGCCAGAGTAATTAAAGGAAGGTGTTGGTGCTTGGTAATACGGGACAAAAGATGGGGATTACCAGAAATATGGTCTGAAACACCTGAGTCAATGATCCATGAACCTGTGGTGTTTGAAACACAAACGGTAGACGTACCAGGTGCAGATAAAGGCACATTAGCCGACTTAAATTTCTGATATGCGGCATATTCAGCTGGAGATAAAACAACCGGAGATGGCGGGATCTGAGCAACAGTGGCTGAGCTAGGAGGCCTCCCGTGTAACTTCCAACATCTATCTTTAGTATGACCAATCTTATGACAGTAGTCACACTTAGGTCGGCTTCGACGCAGACATCCTTTGTTGTTTCCTCCATCGGGCCCCACACCATGAGATGCAAGAATGGTAGAATCAGTAGAACCCAATTCAGTAGATATCGGGGCCGCACGAAGAATTCGAGAAAAAGCCTCTGTCATAATTGGATCATTAGAACTAGAGAGAATTTGTGCACGTATAGATAACAGCTCTGGGCAAAGACCCGTCAAAGCTAAAACCATAACAAGTTGTTGTTGCTCTAGTTGTTTCTATCTATCTTCCGTGATGGGTTGAATGGTATTTTACTCAAAGAGTAAAGCCTCAGCCCGACCTAGAAAATCCTGGATGTCCAATTCTTGTTGCTTGAGCATTGCAATTTTGGATCCGAAAGAAAACAGACTTTGAATATCATTAGTGTAATTAGACTTGGCTTTCTCCCAAATCTGTTTACACGTCCGATATGATTGATAATGTAAGATGAAGTTTGGAGTCCATGGATTGCCACAAAACATTGCACAACAACGCATCCATATTCTCCCATTCCATTTTCTTATCCTTGACTGAATTGGCATCTGTAAGCAAGTGATCAATTTGTCCTTGACCTTTGAACCACATCTCCACAGAAATGGCCCATGATTGATAATTAGCACTTCCAACCAAACGGTCCGATGTAATAACAGGAACCGATGTGATAATTAGAAAAGTGAATATGAGTAAATTAAAATTACTGCTGCAAGGAAATAATATAGCAAAAAGGATCTGTGAATAAAAGAATGCAGCAGTAGCAAACCAGCGGAAGAAACTGTCTGTTTGGTGAGCGACCAGAGCAGGGGTTTGTGTCGGGAGCAGGGGTGAACGACCAGAGCAGCGGCGAGCGGACAGAGAGACGACGATGACAGATCTGAGCGGCGCGTGGGTTCGGCGGCGGCGCGTGAGATCGGCGGAGGCGCGTGAGCTGTCCGATGAGTGGCCGATTTATGCTGTTTTGGTCGCCAGGAGTCACAGATCTTCAGTATGTCGTCTGTGTGAGCTCAAGATTAGTAGATTGAGAGAGATCTGTAAACAAAGGTGATGAACCTGTCAGTCGGCAGCGGCGGCGGCGGCGCGTGGCCGTGCGTGGAGGGTGCAGCGGAGGTGTAGTTTCAGACGTGAGGTTGGGATGGTGTACTGAGGATGGCGGTAGGTGTGGTTGGATATATCACTACCGGAAATTGCTCAAACACCAAAGGCTTCTACAGTTCTACTGTTGACGGCGGACTTTCTCGCCGGAAATTAGGAACACAAGACATATATGGCTCTGATACCATGTGAACAAGTATTATTATTATATTTCATATACTTGATATCAAATGCTATAAAAGAAGCTATATTTATAGCTATATTTTGAGCACCAGGGTTCCATATACAAACATATACAAAATGGGCTAAGCCCAACTCTACTTGGGTTTCCACAGTTCTTTTTAAAATGAAAGTCATATATTTTGTTATGTTTGTCCACTCTCTAGGTGGTGCATGAAACTATTAGTGTTGGAACTGAAACTGCATCAGCTCTCAAAGCACAGGTATCTCCTTAAACAAAATATGGAGTGGTAGTGTCTATCAATTTTTAACTCTTGTTTTTCAACTATCTCCTCTCTTTCTCTAACATATATTTTTGTTCCCAGACTGAACAAATGAGTCGGATTGTTAATGAATTGGATTCAATCCATTTCTCTATTAAGAAGGCTTCTCAACTGGTCAAGGAAATTGGAAGGCAGGTTAACTTCTGAAATTTTCACATTCCCTATGTGTATCATATTTGTTTTCTTATGTTCTGAAAATTACATTATCTATATTAGGTTGCAACCGATCGTTGTATAATGGCAATGCTCTTTCTCATCGTGCTCGGTGTCGTTGCAACCATTATTTTGAAGGTTTGATACATTCTTCTTTTTCTGCTCTTTGAGTTTTTCTAAAAATAGTTTGGTTTTATGCATTACGTCCTAAAAAATTATTGCCATATATTTATCTCCATTGTTCCATATACTGTCTGACAACATACCGCTGTTATGCCATTATGTCATCGTCATCTAGCACAATTATTTTCCCATTAGCAATGTGGTGAAAAGCGTGACAGTCTTGGTAAAAAATTGACATGAATCTCTCTATATACGTGTGCGCTAATTATACAGGATTCTTATATATATATATATATATATATATATATATATATATATTTCTACTTTCAGATTGTTAATCCCCATAGCAAGGACATCAGGGACATTCCGGGATTAGCTCCCCCAGCTCCCGCTCGAAGACTGCTTTCATATCCTAACTGAAAGTCCACATTGACTCCCCATGTAGGCATATTTTACACAAGAATGTGTTCTTAAGCTTGTGGGGCACTATAGGAGAAGCAGAACATCCAGTCGTGGGATGGAGGAGATGAGGAGAAGTGGACTTGATTGATCATAGCTTCGACATTCTTTGACCTTATTGCTAACTTTCAGATGATCATACTTTGTTTATTGAATAGACTGGTATTTGAAGTTCAGTCTATTCTGGCTTATGTATGCATAATGCATTGCAAAGCTATATTTAGAGATGAAGGGAAACCTATCCTTATACAAGACCTGAAATGAAGTTTGTGAATACATTCCAACACTGTCAAGACTCAAGAGCCAAACATATCTTGAAATGCATATATAATATTACTTCGACTTTCTATAAAGAGATTCATGTTTGATTATAGTACTTTTTAAGTTTGTTCAGTCACAATTTCTATTACTAATAAAAAAAAATTAAAACTATTTTTTGGTTTATCTATAAAGTATAAAACTTTTCTGACTTTTGATAAATTACATGAAATATGCGCTTCATTTGAGCAAATGTGATTCTCTGTGACAAAAATATTTGAATCTTGATTCCAGGGGCAAAGCCATGGTATAAAATTGGGGTGAGCCATGGTATAAAATAGGGGTGGGCTTAGGGATGGACTAAACCGGGCCGGCCCGGCCCGCTACTGTACGGGCCCGGACCGGACCGGGACCGGTTGGCCGGTTCTGGGCTTTTAGCCCGTTTGGGCGGGTTGGGCGGGACGGGCTCAGGCCCAGTTTTGGGCGAACCAGCCCGGGCGGTTCGGGCCGGACCCGGGTCAATTTTTTTTTTCTTCAATTTTTTTTCTTTTCCTAGGGTAGGGTTGGGTGTTTTGGGGAGGTTTGGGGGTGGGGGGGTGAGGGTAGGGGTGGACTCGGGTCCGGGACGGGTCCGGGTCGGGCCTAGGCCCGGGCGGGCCGGCGGTTCAAGAATGGTGGACCCGGGACCGGCCCGGGTAGCCACCGGGTCCGGGCCCGGGCCGGGCCTCCGGTTTGTTTTTTTTTTTTTTTTTTTTTTTTTTGCTTTCCTAACCCCCCCCCTCACCTCCCACCCTCCCAAACCCCCCCAAACCCATCCTACCCATCAAGCCCAACCCGGGTGGAATCCCAAAAATGAAAAAAAAATAAAAAAAATTCAATTTGGCCCGGGCCCGACCCGGCCGGGCCGGTTCACCAAAATTGAGACCCGAGCCCGGACCCACCCTACCCCCCGGGCCTAGGCCCGACCCGGACCCGAGAACCGGGCCGGTCCCGGTCCCGCACAGTAGCGGGCCGGGCCGGTCCACGGGCCGGGTGGCCCGACCCGAGTCCAAGCCTAGGTGAGGGGGGGGGGGGTCGGGGATAACAAGAAAGCAAAAAAAAAATTAGACATTGAATCGGGCCTGGCCCAGTTAGGCCCGGACCCAGTATCAACCCGGGCCGGTTCCGAGCCCAAGGATTTGCAAAAAAAGCCTGCCCGGGCCCGGCCCGGAACCGGAACCGGACCGACCCGGGTCCATCCCTAGGTGGGCTGGATACAACAACATCCAAACCTCAACGTCAAAAGATTTTGGGGTCAGCTAACATAGATTGGCTGGATATAGATTAAAAACTTATCCCAAAATCTAATGTATTGAAAATTTATTATATATAGTACTATTCAGAATATAGTGCATAAAGTTAAAATAACTTCTTATATTCTAGCAGCAACACCACCACCAACGATAATAATAAAACAATACAGAGTATTATGTATAATTTGCACTTTGATATTCAACAACTATAAAACTCAAAATATAAAGTTGTTTCTTTTCAAAGGAAAACTTGACTTATATTAAAACATCAAATAAATCGAGAATTACAATCAACCAATAGCTCCAAAATCATAACCTATCCTTCAACAAGCTGCATCTAGAGTTCTAGACTCAAGAGACGTCCTACGACAGACTATGAGACAGCCACCTTCGTAGAAGCAACACGAATCACTAACCAACAAATAGACAACACAGAGTTCTTATAGGCCTTTAAGGTCACCGTACTCTTCACCCCTTTGCTAGACTCATAAGAATTAAAGGATTCTTTTCGTCCCTGATTAGACATAAAAGTTTATCCAAAATTAATGTTCTAGAGGGGGCTAGGCGCTAGTCGAGCGCCAACCCAAGTACCCAACGCCTAGCGCCTAAGCCGCTAGGCGAGCGCCTAAGCCGCTAGGCGAGCGCCTAGCGGGGATTAGTTGGAGACGTAGAAATCATAGTTTTATTAATATTTTTTGCATAAATATGATTAATAACGTTGTGCTTGTGGATGTATAAAAAAATATATACACACATACACATTAATATGTATGAGTGATAGAATTGTCACATTTAATAATATATTATACCATTTATACCTACTCACTTAACTTCATTATCTAATAAATATTATTAAATAATAATAACACTTAAGATGATATATAAACATTTATAATTTTTATCTTAGTCTACAAGTGTAGAACTAGTAGCTTTTTTCATAAGCGTTGCTAAAGATGATATATATGTTTGATGAATCTAGATGCCCTAGGTGACCGATTAAGCGCTTTGTGCAGGCAACTAGGCGCCCTAGGTGGTCGACTAATTCACCTAGGCACCAAATCAAGTAATCAGAGCGCCTGGACTAAAATCAGGGCGCCCGACCACCGCCTAGAGCCTAGGCGGGACTAGTCGGGTGCCTAGAGCGAGTTTTAGAATAGTACCCAAAACTGAGCGAAACTTTTCGCGCAACATATGAGAGTTTCGAGGCAATTACCTTTGATCATAACTAAATTAGACAATCAAACCAAGGCCTTTTGGCCTGAATATAACTGGAAAAAAGATAAAAGACAAAAAAGTGATCTTTTTAAAAATTCAAAAAATGTGACCAACGTCACAATTAAACCCTGTAGTGCAAAGTGACTCTGGCCACAATGGCTCTGCCGCCACAGTGACTCCGGCCACCGTGACTGCTCGCCTACTGGCCACTGTGACTACCCCGCCCACCGACCACAGTTACTCAACCACAGTGACACGCCACACTGACGGCACCGCCGCCGCCACCCCAACCGCCGCCCCAGCCCTGACTCAACTCCCCAGCCCCCTCCCAACCCCTCCACAGCCCCCTCCCAACCCGTCCTATCCCCCAGCCACCTTCCCAGCCACCTCCCATCCCCCAACCACCTCCCAGCCCCCTTTACGTCACCGCCACCCCCAGATAAGTTTTGCTCCGTCTCCGACCCAGACCGACCCCCTCAAGGCGCCCCATAGCTGCCTCACGCCATCCCAATCATTTTCCATGGCATCAGGCCGGAGTGGATTTGATGGATCTTGCATCGGACTTCTGGATCTAGATCCATAGTCGCTACAGTAGATCCATCACACTCCATTATCTCCGGATTCTCTGCACAGGATGAAGTCGGAGGACAGAGGTTTCTCTCTTCGCACAACCTGCGCCATCCTCTCCGACGCTCCAAGCCATCAATTCTCCTCTCTATTGCATCTCGTTTGAGGTTCGTCGACCTTCAGCGACAACCAGTCCTTTATTTTCCTTCTTCTCCTTTCTTTCAACAAATTTTTCCTTCTTCTTTTCAGATATGAGTTTCATATCGAGACTGGGGCTGTGGTGCGTTTTACTTGGGCGGGGCTGGGGGAGGGTTCTGTGGTGTTGAGGAGATGAGACTAGGGTCATGGAGATGGGGTGGGGGAGCTAAGGGTCGGGGATGAGGGAGCTGGGGTAGGGAATGGGGGCTGAAAGGGGGCTTGGGGTGGGGAGGTGGCCGGGGGATCGGAGGGGGTTGGGGGCTAGGGAGGGGAAAGGTGACTGGGGATTGGGGAGTCAAGCCGGTGATCCGCGGTGATGGTCATCGGCAGCCCTAGGACGGGGTTAGCTGAGGGGGCTGTGTGGACCAGGGGAGGGACAAGCTATGACACCGAAGACGGCGTGTCACTGTACTGTGGCCGGTGGGCAGTCACCGTGACCGGTTGGCGAGCCGGAGTCCTGTGTTAGAGTCCCTTGGTCACTATATCACTGCAGGGTTGGTCAATTTTTTGGAAATTTTGAAAAGAGATCACTTTTTTGTATTTTATCCCTTTTTAGTAATATTCGGGACAAAAGGCCATTAAACTTCCGTCACTCTCTCTTGCGTCTCCCTCACCCCTGTTTGTCCGCTGCATCTCTGCTCGTTACAATGCCTTTCTCCAGGTCGATGGCCCTTGCTCTCTACTTCAGCCTCTGCCACAGAGAGAATCCTCCGTCCTCCGTTTGCGTCCTATGCGAAGATTGAGTGCTAAGAGAAGCCCGCGTCCTTCCTCATGTGCGAAGATCGAGTGCGAAGAAGAGAGAAACAGTCTTCTACGGAGAAATCGATGGGCTTGGGAGAAAGGATGGGTTTTAAATGGTCACATTTTTGTCCAAATTCAAAATGGTTATATTTTTGTCTATGGGAGAATAACCAGAACGGTACTGCGTCAGCCAAAAACGTTAAGACCACGGGAATCTACTCTCTTTCACTCCGTCTGCGGTCTGCATCTAAAAACTTAAAAGTATTCAATATTTCAATTAAACTCACAAATCACAATTCCAACTATGTAGGGGTCGAGTTCTGATGGCAGAACTGGATCTGGCAGCGGATAAGAGTTATGTTCGGGTAGCCTTAGGAAAACACTAAGGCAAATGCCTTTCTGATAACTTTTAATTAATGCATTGTAAATGAAATTGGAAAAATAGCTTTAGAACTCCAAATTATCTTTCCAACGAGATGTAATACATTCTAAACGGAAGAACACACATGTAAACTCTCGGATCTCAAAAAGCTCTCCGCCATGTGTATCTGTCCAATGGACCTTATTCATGCCATTGTTTCAAGTTTAATCACTTTTTTGTCCAGATCAAAATGAGTCATATTTTTGTTCATTGAAACTCAAGTAGTAATATTTAGGCCATTCTTTCTCAAAACTATCACGAACACAAACTATCCAAGAGCTAGAAAAATTGTCTAACGAAAGAAAGATAAAACTCGAAATAAGAATAAAACAAACTTGAATCTTTTTTCCCCAAACCACTCTAGACAAAAATATAAAATTGTTTAAAATGTAATTGTAAATAATGGTATGGAAATACAACATAAAACATAACAAATATTACGTACAAGTGGTACAACCTAAACAAGGATAAATCTATTAAAACTTAAATCTTATACTCTGTAAAGAATTTACCAAGGAGAAAACTAATATTAAAATTTTGATAATCAATAAACACAAACACTAGAAGAGTAGATAACATTAAAAATTATCAAAAACTCAAATAGTATAACAAGGAAAAAGAATATATTAAGCTAGAACATAAAGTCTGGAAATAAAATGCCCCTAAATTTCTTTGAATGCCGAGATATCTACTAATGCTA